ACTTCAATGGCCCGCCACGCCCCCTCCTGCCCGGCAAAAAAGTGAGCCGGCCGGAACGCACTGCATATGGTGTGAACAGATCAGTGACCATTTCATAGCAACCCACACGGTAATTAGTTAAGTACATCAGCCTGTGACTCACAGGGCCAACTGGGTAGAAAGTTCAAGTCTCGCTATAAAAAAAAAAAAAGAGAGTGTGCCAAAGAGAAATGCATTTACTCCAAGAATTAGGAACCTCCACATTGGAGGACCCTGACCACATCCCACTAGGGAGTACAAGCAGGACACGCCAACCCCCTGCAGTCCACCAGGAGGTGCATCTCACTCCCGAGAAACTTCCTCTCTGACCAAGCTCGATTTATGGGGCTCATACTGAGCGACGCTAAAGCTGGCTATTGACACGAAATGTCCCGTGCCCAGTGTGCTCGTTTTCCCATGACCTATTCTAGAAGACTGAATCAGCTGAATGTGCATCTATGTGCCTGGGAAAGGCGAGCACTTTACAACCCACTTGTTTGACTCTCCCAACAAGGCATAAAACCGTGATATACACTATATTGCCAAAAGTATTGGGACGCCTTTACACATGAACTTTGAAACCCAGACACGTCCATCTGAGTGATTGGTCACTCCAGAGAACACGTCTCCACTTCTCTAGAGTCCAGTGGCGGCGTGCTTTACACCACGGCATCCCACGCTTTGCATTGCACTTGGTGATGTAAGGCTTGGATGCAGCTGCTCGGCCATGGAAACCCATTCCATGAAGCTCTCTACGCACTGTTGTTGTGCCAATCTGAAGGCCACACGAAGTTTGGAGGTCTGTAGCTATCGACTATGCAGACAGTTGGCGACTTCTGCGCACTGTGCGCTTCAGCATGCGCTGACCCCGCTCTGTTAGTTTACGTGGCCTACCACTTCGTGGCTGAGTTGCTGTTGTTCCAAGTTGCTTCCACTTTGTTATAATCCCAGTAACAGGTGACCGCGGAATATTTAGTAGCAAGGCAATTTCACGGATGGACTTTAGACCAACGGTGACAACCTATCACGGCACCACGCTTGAATTCACTGAGCTCCTGAGAGCGACCCATTCTTTTACAAATGTTTGTAGAAGCGTCTGCATGCCGAGGTGCGTCATCCTATACACCTGTGGCCATGGAGGTGATTGGAACACCGGAATCCAATGATTTGGAGGGGCGTCCCAATACTTTTGGTAATATAGTGTATCTGGTAAGGTTGAGGAGTAAATACAGACCTACACTTGTTTCTCAAATCATCTGTACTGGATTGGATTAGGCAAATTGTTGTAAGAGCCTTTAGAGCTTGTGTACATGGACAAAGCTTTCAGATGCATTTAAAGTCTGCTGGAGACCTACATCAAGCCTTCAGCATCCATATTGACGTTTGGAGGAAGAGCACTGTTGTGTCCCACATAATTGTGTTATATCAGGGGTAGGCAACCTCAGCAGCCAAGCTCTGGTGGGGAAACTACAAATCCCACGAGGCATTGCAATGACTAGGCCAGCCACAGGAATGAGTACCAGAGGCAAAGGGATTTGTAGTTTCCCCACAGATGGAGCACCGAGGTTGCCTACCCATGTGCTATATTGTCGTTGAAATGTATTGCATAGTGTTGGATAGTGGTATCTACTGATCCCAGGCAGGGAGCGTACTGCCAAATTAGCCTGCCCTTGGGATGTCCCCCCTACTATTTAGTTCTAGTTAGTACAGTCTGTAGATAGACACTCCCTCCTGCCTTACACTGTTCAGTAGAGTTTCACAATCTACTGCAGAGACAGGGCTTAGAAAGTTATTGTTTTCTTACACTGGAAAAGAATGGAAATACATCCCTTGAATCCAATGTAGTTTTACTTCAGCTAAGCACAATACAACATCTGTGTCTTTTTTTTTGAAGAGTTAACCTGCTTATGGATTCTGCCAAGTCAGCAAATGGCCATACTGTCCACACATACTATGACCTAAGGAGGTATGTCACTGCATATATCAGTAATTGAAACAAAGTTCTAACTAGGGATGGACCAGAGTATTTGGGCGAGTACTCGCCCCTCTCACGGGCAGTGCCGAGGGAGTATGGAGGTGCCGTCCAGCTTCCTAATTGCCTGTGAAGCCAGTGTCCTAGCACTTGCCAAGGCTGCCTGTCTTCCTGACCAATCAGGAAGCCGGGGGGGGGGCGAGTCAAGCGGTACCGTCCAGCTTCCCGATTGGTCAGGAAGCCAGGCTGCTTAGCAACAAGTGAAGCCGGCTTCCTAGCCAATCAGGAAGCATGATCCGCCTCCCTGATTGGATAGGAAGCCGGCTTCACTTGCTGCTAGGCAGCCTGGCGGCACATAATGACCTGCTTCCTGACTGGTCCGGAAGCCAGGCTGCCTAGCAACAAGTGAAGCCAGCTTCCTAGCCAATCAGGTAGCTGGGAGGCGGGTCATGACATGCCATCTGGCTTCCCGATAGGCAGCCTGGCTTCCTGACCAAACAACAAGTGAAGCCTGCTTCCTAGCCAATCAGGAAGCCAAACGTCACCTTATGACTCGCTGCCCGGCTTCCTGATTGGTCAGGAAGCCGGGTAGCCTCGGCAAGTGCTAGAACACTAGCTTCACAGGCAATCAGGAAGCCGGGTGACGGGTCATGATCCGCGGCCCGACTTCCTGATAATCGGGTCGCATGGCACTGATATGGGTACATTCCTAGTTCTAACACAATGAAAGGCCAGTGTATGCAAGCCCTTAGGATTAGCATTAGACAAAATGCTGCAGAATGCTGCTCCGGCGTGACGCACCAACGATGAAACAACAACTTGCTGGTTCGGTCAGCAAGGGAGCGAGTAGGAGTGTTGCCTCTGCTCTCTTAGAAACCCACCTACAACAGGATTGCTAGTGCTACACGGGCCTTGGCCTTGCCACTTCCAATTACCATTCAAGTTACTGTAATGTCACAAGCATCCAGGGACCTGATAAATCACATCTTTAAAAATGAATTTTCCCCGAACGTTGATGATTAAGTCCGATTGTCACAACCCGTGTAGAATCTCAAACTGCCCATAGACTTGGTAGTGTGGGGGGACGGGACATCCGGTTGGTACCCAAAACAAGCCAACATTATTTGTTTCATGCTGTCCGGGATTTCTGACTGAACCGACCTGCCACATACTCCGGGCATTCTGATAAAGCGGTCCATGCTGCCATTAAGTGAAAGGAAGCTGCACATACAGAGATTATAAAGCTGGCACTGATGGTCAGCCAGGGACTTTCCAGGAACTTTCATTATTGTTCAGGGCCCTAGACACCTGCCTGGCTTCACACTCAACTATTCATTCCCATTTCTGTGCATTATAAATGCGCTTTGGCTCAAACGTTTTCTTTTTCATGATGCAAATGAACGAACAGAAAACAATCATTGCAATAAACCTGTTACCCGTTCACATGTTCTGTTTTTTAAAACCATGCTCAACTGCAGCACATAGATGTGACCAAACCTCACAGGTACACAGGAACTTCTGCTTGAAATGCATTATCCAGCAGCAAAATGGAGACTAAGAGGGGTAATGGACATTCCTTGCCAATCCCTGCTAGAAGCTGCCACACTCCGACTATGGTTCTACAGGCCTGCCGTGTGTCAGCATGGCGTCCCCTATTTCCCGTCAGAAGAAGAGACGCAAACTGACCGCGCTAGGATAAAATCGGCTTTTGTGGCCACTTACCATTAGGAAGTGACTGTTTCCTCAGGGGACTGGCAGGATGAACAGTTTTATTTGGCTGTAGGATGCAGACATTTCTTAGGGATTGAATCTGTAACCAGTTAGGGTAACCATACGCATGGATTTCCACTTTTGCAGTCATTTCAGACCCCCCGCCCACCCACCCACCTATAGGTTTATGTCCTCCCATTCATACAGCATACCCGAGAAAAACAAACGCTTATTAGCGTTTAGATGTTTGTTTGGAGGAGGTCTTTGTGCAGACTGCAAGCTATTCCGAACTGTAGGAGAGGGAGTCTGTCCCCATAGAAAGACTGGGGACACACCGAGCTTCCTCCCATTGGCATACAATGCTTCCAGATCATTAACCCTTTGTTAGGACAGACCGTGATCAAATCTAGTTTACAACTAATAGTGGAATCTGCCAGCACAGCACACAACAGAACTCATTATAATTAGGGACGCACAGATACTAGTATCGGTGCTGATGCCGAGTATTTGGGTGAGTACTCATACTTGCCCAAATGCTCCGATGCCTAGCCCGATACTTCCGGCATCGGGAAGCCGGGCAGCGCGTCATTACACGCTGCCCGGCTTCCTGATTGGCCGGGAAGCCGGCTCCATGCTCTCGTCTCTTCTGGAAGCGGAACATAGACAAGAGGGAGACTTAGAGATATGGAACACCCCAAAGACAATGTAAACCCTGAAGTCTCACACGACCTCGAATGATTCTACATCTGCAGCATGGAATGTACTAGAACTAGGATAGTGCTGGGAGAGGGTCATTCTCAGGACTCTGTACATAGGACTGTGGGAGAGTGGAGGGCGGAAAAGGGGAGCTCTACAGTAATGTGCAGTGTGAGGTGGAGGTGGGGGGGACT